GGAGGTTTTGACCTGGAGTGAGCAGGTACCTGTTCTGTACTTACTGTAACAAGGAGTCTGCTCTTTTGACTTCACCTATTTTGCTGAAATCGAGTAAAAGTATGTAGCCCTAATATAAGCAACTATCAATTTTTTTTTTTTACAATGAGTAAAGAGAGAGACAGGCGTTGAACAAAAAGGTCTATGTTTCCATAAATCACGTGAACAACAGGATGAAATCAAAGTGTACTAACCTCTGCTTGTTTGCGCCACATGTCCAGGTTCTTGCGCTGCGCTTTGGTGAAATGGTCCCATGCCTTTTGTTTGGAAGCAGCTTGGAATACAGACACAATCTGTTCAACTGTGGCGGGACGCAGGGAAGGACCAGAGACCATCCAGAGACACAGAGAGAAAGAAAGACAGAGGGCAGGTGGGAAGGAGCAGAGGAGTGAGAAAGTGGAGTCAACTAGGGATGTTAAGCACTCTCTGTGTGTGTGTGTTTGTGTTTGTTTATACACGTGTGTGTAAAAGTGTGTGAAATACTTACCAGCTGATGCAAGTGCATCAACTCGTAGATGGTTGGTCAGTTAGGTCCCACGCGCAAAGCTTAAACAAACTAAGTAAATCATGCCCTTTTCCTACATACATAAATAATATATGATATCCTACTTCATATCGAAAATAAGAAATGTGTGAGCCAGTGTTCTGGCTCCAGGAAGTACAAATGTGGTTTTGATTAAATTGTCTTGTCGATAATTGGATGAATTGCATCTAAATTAAGTATTAAAAACTTTTACTTTGAATTTATAACCAGATTTTTTGTTGTTAAATTCTTTGTTGTATAATCAAATATCTTTAAAACTAATGACATTTCTAATCAGGCTCAGCTTTACTTTGTGTGACACATATTATTAGTTATAATGCTAAACTAAGAGAGTGAAACAAACATTCGAAACATCAGGGTGTTGACAAAGACATTCTAGAGATGTTAGCATGGATTTCTTCTTTAACATTTATTTAACAAGGGACATTTTGCAAAGCAACAATAAGCCGCTCAATAATAACCTTTTTACTTTAAGCGTGAAACTGTTGACCACCCTGCAGCTTGACTGCAGCAGAAGACTGTTAATAATCTTGCCCAAGGACATCTCATTAAAGTAAAATAGTGTTCTCTATTCACAACTCTTCAAGCGTCAGTAGTTAACCCTTCAGTAAAGCTGTATCTGCAAATTGCCAGTGTAGAAACATAACACTTAACTGAGCTAACAAAAACGTCTTTGAGTAACGGAGTCCTTTATTAGGAGCAGACCTTTGACTCTGAGGTATTAAACTATTCATACATGTGATGTGTATGCTGTCAGGGTTGATCTTATTGGGTATTGATATAGTCATTCCCCTCTCAGCTATCTATCTGTTGTCATGTGAGTGGTCATGTGTGTATGGGTGGTCTTTGTATCCCAGAGGTCCTAATGTACACAGGGGGGGGAAAAGGAAGCGTAATACCACACCTGCGCAAGCAGTGTCCACCCCCCCGCGACAGCCCACCGCACCCGCCCCAC